ATTCCATTAATCACGATGAAAATTAGTGACTCATGGGTATTGTATATGGGGAATATCTTTTGTGTTATATATTGCTGGATTGGATCATAGTAATGGATCGTAATAACTACAGAATTACTTAACAGCTATATTAATATTAGGCTCGAAAGTATTGTTCAAATGGAAATCTATTTATACATATAATAAAATTGTAATTAAGTCGAATCTGTACATTAAATATTTTTTGGAAAATCTAATTGAAATAGACATTTATATCGATACAGAGTCCGAATCTATAGTTTTTAGAATTTTTGTCTGTCTGTTACCGCATCACGAGAAAACCACTGGACAGATTTTGATGAAATTTGGTATGATGATAGCTGGTTATCCGGGTCAACTTTTTACGGCGGGGAAATATCTCATTTGAGAAAAATGCAAAAACTGCAATGTAAGAGTATACTAATATATAAAATCTAAGAATTGGGTTTTGGTCATCTGAACGCGGGCGGAGCCGCGGGCAATGCTAGTATGCAATATTTTTGAACTTCCATAAAGTTTCAGCTTAAAGGTGAAAATGTAACTAAAAGTGAAGTACAATGATTGAATATCGAAGGTTCCATTTAGCCGATAGCCTATTCCTCTCCCGCTCTATCATTGTCACTATGACGAATTTAGCTCATTTGCGCGGACCTTTCGGCACTCTGCGTTTTAGCTTTGGCTAAGAGGAACTAACGAATTGGTTTATAGAACTTTCATGAAGTATAAATACTTAAAAAAGTACAGATTTCATTATTCTTATACTACTTTTTTAGAATTACAAGAATATTTGATATCTATACATAAAATAAAAGTGTAACTGATCACTGTCTGTATATGGAAGATATTTGAGAAAAACTATTATTGGGTGTATTTATTAATGCAATGGAACCCAAACCAATGATTTTTCGATTTTTTTGTCTACTTATCTTTTTATCTGCGTTTATAGGTGAAAATAAAATGACATTTTACATAACTTATTGCTAACAAAAAATTAAAAATATATGGAAATGTCCCGTGGACAATATATGTTATTTACATAGGTATATTTAACTTTTTCTATAAGCGATATTAATTTTAAATTTGTAGTTGTCTGAAAAAGTAGTATAGGTAGTGTATGTTTTTATTATTTCCAGCTGAATGAAGATAGCTGCAAGGCTAGAGAAAAGCTCTCCTATATTCATTTTAACATTCTGAGATATATAACTGCATGGGTGAAAAGTGATTCCAAATAGCTTGAAATATGCCCTCGATTTATCTCTGCCGATAGTTTTACGACTGTAATATCCCATACTATTTGGAGATTAAAATTGCAAATCGTCGGTCGTATAAATGTCGATTGAACGATTAGATGTTTTAACATATCTATCATATCCACTATTTGTCAAATATCTATACCTATGCATTTTTCTGCAAATTTGTTTTTTACTTGAACTTCAGACTACCTTTGCAGTGAAGTCTTATCAAAATCGATTAGTTGATTTAAATTTTTCTAAACGTCGAGAATAATAGGTTGTCCCAAATTTAATTGAATTAGAAGGTAATACTGAGTAACAAAGGTACTAGAAGCTACATAATGTACGTCATCTTCGTATATTCGTATTAAGGCTCCACCCCTTTTAAATAATTTTAGACTTTAATTTGTATGAACTAACTGTTGACATCTAAGCAAAATTATTATATTTTAAACTTTTATATCAAGGTCTTTGATTTAGTAAAATAAAACAAATAGATAAGTACACCACCAAAGTTATACCACAAGAGCGGAGTTTGGGCGAGGCTTAGTTACGAGTACACTCACGATTCAACATTTCATTTTGTTCTTCAATTAATATTTTTAACTAAAAAGATACAATGACCAACAGACATTTATAAAAAATAGTTTTCAGTTGTGCGTAATATCTACATGTATATAAATGGGAAAACAGTTCCATAAATTGCCTTCTTTGTTAGTCTTTTTTTAGTAACTATTTACGAACAATATAATATTTTCTAAACACTTTCTTATATAGATATATTATATAGATACATAAATTATATTCATACATGTCTATCTCAAATTTTCAATAATGATTATCGTCGTATTTCGACCACTGAGTGAACACTAATATACATAAAAAATATACCTACACACGAATTAAGTATCTCCTGTATAGAAATCTCTCAAAATTACTAAATAAAATAGATTAAAGAAACTAGAAAATCTAAAGCATTTCTCAAAGTTTTCCTCGTCTCAGATAAATATGAGGCAAAATATGGCGAATTTTAAACTGCTGATAAGGGCCTCGTAAATTAACTCCCAAAATTATGAATTACTTCCGTCTTCCCCGGGCTTAGCTCTTGATTTTGTGAGAGAAATTTAATTTAATAGTATCCGTTTGTGGAATTAAGCAAGTGCCCAACTAAAAGGTACTTATACGAATTCTCATTATATACTTTCCACTAGTAATTTACTTTACTTACCTTTGTTTTGCTCGGGGACCTTGTTTCCTTTTGCGACTTGATAAAAATCATCTAGTTTTCTCTATATATTATTTCTTTATACATATACTAGCTACTCACCATCGCTTTGCTCGGATTCGTCTCTAGACACGTTTTAACGATTAGTATAGACTTCTCAGAGATGAGATATTTTCCCGCAATAAAAAGTATTCTATAAGTTGACCTGGATAACCAGCTATTATCATACCAAATTTCATCAAAATCCCTCCAGCGGTTTTTCCGTGATGCGGTCACAGACAGAGAGACAGACAAAAATTCTAAAAACCACAGATTCTGCCTCTGTAGCGATAATAATGTCTATTTCAATAAGATTTTCCAAAAAAATATTTAATGTACAAATTGGACTCAGTATTTTATTACATGTATAGATTATAAAATTGTATTATAAACAGTAGCATATAATATTAGTCCAGGTAATAGTCTAAATTTCATCCAATTCCGTTCAGCAACGTGAATTGGGGTATAATACATAAAACACATATACAAATATTTGCATTTCTATAGAACATATTTAACATAGACATGATTTGGGCCAAAATCTTCACTCAGATAAAACAATGAAATAAGCTCTGCCAATGAAATTATCATTCTTAATCATTTAAATTGAATTTAAATGATATCCATAACACTATCTGGTATCCATAACACAAGCTTACCATGGAACTAGATGGCGCTGTGTGTTAATGTCCCAAAATATATTGATTTATATATTTTATTATTTTACTTCTTATATGTAAATTTAAATTCTTAACACCTCCAGGTAAATTTCTAAGAAATTAATTAAAATTCTAAGAAATCTATTGTTAACTGTAACGCCGGCGTATCCGCGTCGTGGAGGGATTAATATACTTACTATTTACATAACAGACTTATTATCATCCTATATATTTTTTCTTGCACGCCCACATTACTGCAATTTCATTCCTAGGATTAAACGTGCCTTCCTTTCCAAGTACATAAATCTATCACCGCAAAGATTTAATAAGATAGCGAAGACGTATTACGCCAAATTTGGTCGATCAATGAGTCATATATCAGGAATTGAGGTGAGAGGCAGAGTTAGAAGCCAACTTGATATCGTATACCGATAACTAAGGAGTTTTAAACTGGTGGCAATGAATCGATGGAAATTATCGACTTTCATGCAAATTTTTGGAGAACATTTGGCTTATTACTAGACGCTTAAATATTATTATCGTAATCTATACTAATATTTTAAATGCGAAAGTTTGGATGGATGTTTGCTCGACAGAACGGAACGGATCTGGATGAAATTTGACATAGAAATAGATTATAGTCTGGAATAGCACTTAGGTTACTTTTAAGCCGAAAAAATGTACGGTTCCCGTGGGATAGATTTGTTTTGTTTTTCACGAGAGAGAGAAGCAACGGTGAATAACAAGTTTAAAAATAGTTATGTTGCTTAATTTTTAACATTAATCATAAAAAGTGCTTCTACACTATCAAAAATTGATACCAATATATTATCCCAATTTTTGAAAAACATTCTACAAAAATTAGTCAGCTGTGAGATGGAATTGCGTGATCCTTCACGCAGATAATTTACGTACATAATCCAATTTTAAAGAAATTTAAACACTGCGTTTTCTTAATAAGTATAAGTGAAGACTGTATACATTATAGATGTATTTATTTTAGAATTTAAAATAAAACTATTAAGATAATCATATATATAAACTAGCTGACCCGACAGACGTTGTCCTGTCTACACGTCTTTAATTTGAAAATTTCAAACTTTTTTTAATAAGCTAAAACATTCTGGACCATTTTGATGAAAATTATTATTCAAATTGTGAATCTAAACCATTCCCAGATCCCCTTGAACACACACAAAAAATTTCATCAAAATCGGTCCAGTCGTTTGAGAGAAGTTCAGTGACATACACACTCACAGAAGAATTATATATATAAAGATATATTGTGTCACGATGTTTGTGGTCGCACTCCTCCGAAACGGCTCGACCGATTTTAATGATTTTTTTTGTATGTATATTTGGTAGGTGTTTTATTATGTATGTATGTATATCATTGAAATAAAAATGATGTAATTTTATATCGACTGGTCCTACGTATACTAGTATAACCGACAAAATCATGAAAACTGTTTTTTTGCATCAATAGCCTTAGAATAACCTATATTTTATACCCTGTGAAATTTATTTTAAAATATCAATAAATTTCAAAGTTACAAACTTGTCATTTGGTGCAAGTGACGGTATTTTAAACCACACGACTGTCAACATTGATGCAAGTCGCTTGCACTAATGTAGATGGTTACAATCCACGCGGCACAAGCGTGTAAGTGACCTTTACATCAGTATACAGGTGGCGCCGCTACAGAGTTAACGTGTTACATTGGTACAAGTGCAATGATTTCAGGTTTATTTATGCAATTGTTAAAAATTACCTATTTTTATAAGGTTTATATTTATGTTGAATTACTGTGATAATAAATAATAATCATGAAGCGTTCACTAATGATACATTTAGTAGAAAAAAAATGCAGCAAAACTAAAACACTCGAAAATTTCGAAGGTAAGAATCAATTTATTATTTTCAACACAGAAATGATAAATTAAGATTTAATTTAATTGGTTGTGACTATTTTATAAATTAAATAATGTACAGTTTATTTATATTATCACTTGCACTAGTAGACAAAGTACGTATTCTATTTTGTGTACTTGCGTATATTGGTGCAAGTGATTTTTTTACGGTAATTTATTTATTAATAGTATAAACTTTTTTTAAATGCATTAATACATTTTTTTGATTTGGATTTTAGAACCACTTAAATTATCAACATGCAGACCTTGTGAGGAATTACAGCTAAATTTGGAAAAAAATAATATGTACCGAATTAGAGAACCGGTTGATTTCAATGAAAATCTACAATTCGCGAATGAAAACTTATCACATAAGCCAGATAAAAATGTTATACTACATATGTAAAATGTTATTTTTTTGTTTGTGAATTCCCTTTGTCTAATTTTGCATTTATATCAGTATACACGGCTTGATTTGATGATTTTTGCAAATGTTTTATAATAATAATAGATATAAGTTACATTAGTCACCAACATTTTTGACATGAGTGGGATTCAATTAAATACATAAATATTTTACAACATTAAGTAGATGTTAGGAATGAACTACATTATTATGAAATATATGTTTTTAAAGAACTTTGCTTTATTTACGTATTATCAAAATCCTAGTATTATTTACGCTGAAAACTTTCCCTTAAAAACTAATTATTAGTATTATAAATGCATGTATATCATATGTTTTTTAGATTCTCCCTTCCCTCCGAGTGCGGAATTATTCACTGAAGAAATGTCGTTCATCAATACTGTTGTTAATTTAAACAATCCAGAAGACTTTTTCGAGGAAACACCAACAGTTGAAAATTTATATCGAAATTTATCAAACAATTCGTCAGATTCTGATAGTTCTACTACATGTTTTAAGGACCAGGAAGTTTGTGTGATCGTTTATAATACATAAGAAAGTGTGAACCACAGCTTTTATCTTCACATCAAAATCTTATTACTGGATTAAGTGTATCTAAGCAGGAAAAACTTCCTTAAGATGGTATTGAGAGCTTCACACCTATACCTTTACCATCAGTTTCTTTTTCATCAGCCTATCAACAAACTGAAAGCGAGTTTGATAGTTTTCCTTTAAATTCAGATTACACTGATACACCGCTAAGTAGTCCGACAAATGTAAAGACAAAGAAACAAAAAAAGAAAGATAAGGGCAGATTACGAGAAAGATACCAAAGCAGGTGGCTAGATGAGAAACGAAAATACAACTTAAACAGAAGCTTAGAATATATAAGTAGGACTGGAAAAATAACTAAACAGAAAGAAATGAAAGCTCCATGTAAATATCCTAGAAAATATGCTGAAAAATTGGAAGAAATGGCAAGGTACGATATATTTAACAATTTTTGGACAAAAAATATCTAAGGACGATAAAACTATAGTCGCTGTTACTTTCGATTTGCAAAAAATACAAAGCTTACCACATGACAATGTTAGCACATTTTATTATAAGAGAAAAGTACATTTTCATAATTTTACCCCATTTGACATGGGTGATCTGTAAGGGTATTGTTATTGTTGAATATTACTAATAGATTTCTTGTTGTTGGTCACATCCAGAACGAGGGTGACAGTATTCACTCCGTAATAGAAAAGAAAACCAGAAGTGTATTGATTTATACTCCAGATCAATGATCTCTGGCCTTTAAAATGGCCACTGATAATGCAAAACCATACATAGTAAAAGAAGTTACTCAATCTTTAATTTTTGATTTTAAGTCGTGCCTCACCTTTTTTGATAACTGGAAGAAGAACTGTATTGGAGAGCTTGTGATGTGGAATAAAATTTGTGAGGTTAATGTTAAGGCCAAAGATTTATTTAAGCTCAATTACAAATATACTTTTGAAAAAGATGCCTATAAAACTATACAATGTGTAAGAAGTAACACACGAACCGCCATACAAAATGTTACTAAAAAAATTGATAGTTTAGATGTAGCTTACAAAAGCTTATTACCAATTGATAAAAAAATACAAAGATCTTCAAGATCTTTGTATTTCGACTGTAATCCCTGAGCGATAGCATTTATATTATAAGAATTTGAAAATTAGATCCGAGAATACTGGAGACCTATCTGACTAGGCTATATTTATCAGCCTTTCTCTTTTTTGTATTTTATTCCTACCACCACTTCGATTGTTGTTTTATTTTACTTAATTAGGTGACTAAGCGATATTTTATTTTAATTAGCCAGAAAGGGCAATAATTAAAGAGTAGTTACTAAATGAATAATTAATTTAACTGAATATTTAATTTAAAATAAAGTTTTATTATGATTATTTAGAAAATGCGTTTGTTTCTTTTTATATTTTTAATAACTTTGTTACTAGATATTAATAATATTTTAAAGACTGATTAAATACTAATAAATATTTACTGCCCTAATAACTAGGTACCTCATATTACAGTTGACGATAGTTCCTACCTAAATTAAGAATAATTGTTTCTTTTTTATTTTTTGTTCCAAAATGGTTAAACCATTAATTTGTTTGGTTATCATATTATTTGTAATAAACCTTTATTTTTTTTAATATTTTGGTTTTATTTCCCGTAAACTTAATGAAATTTATGACTAGAGTATTACATAGAAAAGTGATACAAGTAGTTTTCAGTACTTAGTAAAGTGGTGCAAGTGATAAAAATTGATAAAGATCATTATTTTTAATATCACGAGCTTCAATTATTTATCAGTAACCACGGATATGCATATGTTATATTGATTTGTCCTTCTATTTGCCTTGGTTTGCAAAAAAATTAGTACACGTATACTGATATAAGTGATCACTTGTACTACTTTATGTGTTTTAATATTTAAGGAAGAATAGGCTACGTAAATACAACTGACCCGATTTTCTAAAATAACAAAAAAAAATAAAATTTAATTACACAGCCCTTTTCCTATAATACTCAGGTATTACATTTCAAGATTTCAAAGATTTCTGTTGAACTATGTCAAAGTTACAAGCTTTAGAATGTTTGAATCGCTCTCCTGTAAAGTTGCTTTTTTGCACTTGTACTAGTATACGTAGGACTAGTCGATATATTATAATATACCAAATCGACATACTTCATCTAGTAGATTTGGAAAAAAAGGTGTGCCCCAACAAATAAGACGTAAGGGTGATCGTATAATTGTTTGGTCTTTTCCTTTTAAGCTCTGAAATCCAAATCTAAAAATAGCATCGAATAATCTATAACGTTGGAATATCTAAAGTTTCAAAAGCTTGTATGTTTTAAAAGTGATAGCCTCAAGCTATTATAGCTATACTAGCATTGCCCGCGGCTCCGCCCGCGTTCAGATGACCAAAAACTAAATTCTTAGGTGTTACATATTAGTATACTCTTACATTGCAGTTTTTGTATTTTTCCTCAGAAATAAGATATTTTCCCGCGGTAAAAAGTATCCTAGGATCGCGCGCTACATCGCCCGGTTTATATAGCTTGAGCAGGCGGTCGAGCGATGCGGGGCAGAGGGGATGGACTCGCCGTAGGCATCTCAATGCTCGCCAAGCATTAAAAATGTTTCGCTACTAATTACTTCTAACAACGATATCTCAAAAACTATTCATCTGATTGATTTAGTGTAAAGAGCAATTTTAATCTGCATTAAATGACTAAGCTAACTAAAATATTCATTTGGATAAGGATTAATACCGAACTAAAGAAAATAACTTTGAAAATAACGTAATGTTTTTAATTAAAAATGTTAACATAAAAGTGGTTATTGTAAGTCAACCGTAAGAGATAGAGATATGCTATCGCGGACTTTTTTGTAGCATTTTTATAGATTTTGAATTCTCTAGTACATTACTTAACTGTATCTTTGCTAGTTTACGCGGCGTTCGCGTGGAAAGTTCCCATTTGGCGAGATTTTTTGCGACCTCTTCAACATTTGTCGCCGTATTTCAGCTAATTTACATAAAAGCATAATAAATTATATACCTAAACCTTCCTCAAGAATTACTCTTTCTATTGTTGAAAACCGTATAAAAATCCGTTCAGTAGTTTTCGAGTTTATCGCGTACAGACAGACAGGAGGACAGAAAGACGCGGCCGGGGGACTTATTTTTATAATAAGTATAGATAGAGCGTCTGAACGTTGGAACGAAATTAGTTTAGATGCCCGACAGTGAATGGTAGGATGAGTTGAGCACACAGTAACGCGGTTAGTCAAAAGGGCATCAACCTACGTACAGATATATTTAAGAATGATTTTTAATATATTTATACTGATATATGATTTTTTTCGGTAGTTCGAACTTCTTTTACGAGTGGATTTCTTATAGAAATTGGTAAAATGTATGTATATATATATATATATATATATATATATATATATATATATATATGTGTGTGTGTGTGTGTGTGTATTCAGCCCTTTTTAACATCCCACTGGTGGGTATGGGCCCCTGCAATACGAAGGAGATCAGGTCATAGTCCACCACGCTGGCCAAGTGCGGGTTGGCGGACTATAGAAATTAGTAAGATAGGTTTTTTTAAATGTATGCTTCTAAAGTACTTTCAAAGAAATCTTATTATTTTTATAATAATGTTAAGATACTTGTGTGTATATAGCTAAATAGATCTCGATATAATTTGGCAAGCAGATAGTTTATGACACAATAAGCTAGTTAGCTAGACGTTAGAGATGCAACCGAGCATCCTTTCCCAAAGATAGCGCTACTTGTATATTCATACTTTAATATTATAAATATGAAAGTATGTTTGTTGCTTTGTTTGTTTGTCCTTCTTTCACGTTGAAACGGAATGACGGACTGGCGTAATTTTTTAGGGGGGGGGGAGATACTTGGAGGGCTGGAGAGTAACATAGACTATTTTTTACCGCGGGAGATTATAAACGTTCATAATACATCCCAAAAAAATATTTATGATCAGAATTACTTGAAACTTGATATTAATGCTCTTCAATATAATTAAATAAATACGTGTCATAGCATTCTTCAAACTTCATCCCACGAGGGGGTAAAATAGGGGATGAAAGTTTGTATGAAACCTAAGTTTTTTTTGTAGTTTTAGCGCGAGCGAAGTCGCGGTTTCTGCTAGTAATATAATAAATACATACAAAAGGCACCTAAGGCCGCACTCGTGTGAAAGTAAATTGCTAGTACAAAATAAGAAAGGGAAGATAAATAAAAATAATATTGTTACCACTTAACTCTCTTTTTCCTTGTTTTGCTTGGCTTATATTTAGCAGCAATTTTTCGTAACGCTTTGTCTTCTTTAGATACACTCTAAAAAAGTATCAAACTGTAACCTCTGCAGTATTTGTGAGGATTACAGGTATCTTAATAATTATTGCATATGTAATATTAATTGATGTGCGTATGTAATATTAATTGATTGTAATAAACAATTTTAATAACGGTACATCTGCCATGTTACATTAAAATATTTATGAATGAAACCTAGGTAATATAAGATGTTCAGTAGTGAAAATTCCACATAAGTCTTCTAAGTATTGATGCATGTACAAGCAGACAGCTAAAATATATGTATATACATATACAAGCATGACCCAATGCGAATCTTTAACAAAATAATCAAAATTAATCCGTGAAAAAAAAACGAAATGATTTATTTCAATTGCAAATATTCGCGTAAATTTAAGAAATTGTTATTAAGGTTTTTTAATCAAATAAATTACCTATAACACGAAAAGCGCGAAGGCGTCGGTTCTGCGTCTGGTTTCTCATCGAAATTGTCGATTTTTTGTTCTATTGAACTTTCAGTGGAGTGCACGTTGTTTCTGATTATACCTGATTATACGCGCCTGCATTATTAGCTCCCGCACAAATAAAATTATGTTAAATAAATATGTTGGGACATTAACACACAGTACCATCTAGTTCCATGGTAAGCTACGAGGCCTGTGTTATGGATACCAGATAGTTGATACACTACACAAATATAACTTTAGACGCATACATACATATTATAAATATAAACACCCAGGACTGGAGTACAAACATTCGTACTCGTCACACAAATGAATGCCCCCAGTGGGACTCGAACCCGCGACCGCTGGCTCAGCAAGTAGGGTCACTACAAACTAAGCCAAACGTGTCGTTAAATACTTGATCTAGATCAGTGAAATGTCACCATGGCCTAAATTTGATTAGATATTTATTATCTATATATAAATATTCAAAGACAAACCAGACCTTTTTCTCCTCAATTTGTCAACTGCTTTTCTTTTTTGTTTAGTAGCTATTGACGAGCTTTAGTGTTATCAATATTTTTTTAGAAAATTCCATTTCTACGTATATTATAGTATAATGTGTTTTTTTCAATTTTCCATTACGATTATAGTCGAATTATAGTCGAATTTCGAATAGACAAACACTATAAATTACAATTATTATTAATGCATACAATATTTATAAATATATTTGTAAATTTTCTTTTAAATCTTCTATCCAAAGCACAAAATCCTCTCCAAATCTACATACTAACCCGAACCAGTCAAAGTATATACGAGTACATCCACACTGTTAAATCAAACACGTTTAAGTTTGGAGACCAAGTGAAATACCAGAACTCTACACTCTAGTGACAGTTACGTGGTTAGTTTGTGTAATTTGCATCCAAATATATTTAGTTCCGCATATTG